CTGTAGGATCACCAAATATATTCATGACTTGTCACTCCTAGAAATGTATCAGTTTTAAATGTATCAATAGGTGGTACCTAACTATGGCTAAAATATTTGAGAATTGTGGTAAAACTTTCAGGCGTTGTGAATCAGCAATATGCACTTATACCCACATATGGTCGAGATGTAATTAAGTTAAGCCCTCTCGGAGATGGGCAGCAGAATTCTTAAACAATATGGTTAAAAATCAAATAGTATTAACTCCGCAATTGTCATTTTTTTTTTTCTTTATTTTTGGTGTGCAGCAACATAGCATGGATATTTTACATAGTCACGTATAAGGTTATCCAGCATACAATACAATTAAAACAAGAAGATGCACTTTTTTTTTTAAGTAAGAAATAAAGACAAGAGTAACTCAGTGCATATCATTTGGCTTATAGTTAAAATTAGAACAGGACATAGGCACTGAACACTTAGATAGGCAATATTCAAGTTAATCAGGTAAATAAGCAGATCAAAAGAGTGGCAGTACCTCAGGAGGACCCCTAATGCACAGATAAGAAGCAAGACCCCAGGTAGTTAAGGCATTAGATGGAGGGAAGTGAATCAAAAACTAGGTGGCCTAAAACATAGACAGAAATAACATGCTACAAGAAGGCCTGAAAACATCAGGAGTCTCCTTCTCTCCTCATCCTATGCACCTTAGGGGTAGGTCACGGTCCAGTGTTGCTGTAGTGGATATCAGGTGAAATGTTCCATGTTGAGGCAAGCGTAAGAGGCAGCAGTGAAGAGCAGCTTTTGTGGAGGTTTTTTATTTCTTCAGCACCCTGACCCGTTGTCAGTTTCCTGCGCGGTTTGGACGTGGAGGTCTCCACTGAATCCCAGTGCAACAGTGGGGTGGTCTTGGGCATACTCGAAAAATTGCTGTAGCAGCCCAGTATGCCAACTTCGGGCAGCCGCTGCCCCTTGATGATTTCTGTGTTGCTGCAAAGGGCTCCCTCCAACATTGCCCGCCTGTGTTAGCCTGTATAGGAGATGCATGTAGGGGATATAAAGGTGAAAAAATACGTTGAATATTCAGAGTTATAGGGCATAAAAGAAGTAGCGAGACTCCAACTTCTCCCAAAAAAGCATTTAAAATCATGTTCAGGTGGAGCTTCCCATTTGGTTAGAAGGAGCACGTCGTCCACCATTTTGCAGGTAGCACTTGTACTGGACTCGAGTTTCAGCTGCGGTGCCGCACTCCCACAATGCTGCGGGGGTATCTCCGGGGGGCAGACTGGGATAACCCCCACTGGCCAAGAGAGGGGGTGCGAGAGCCATAGTCAGAATTGTGGCCAAGTGTGGCAACGAGAGAGCGGCTGCCTCCCTTGCGCCCACCATACTTGTAGGCTGCAAGAGACTGTCAGGTGGATCCCGCATGATGGGCTACATGTTTGCTATCACCATGAGCATCTCAGTGTCACCTCCAGTCTGATGGTCTGTGTAAGCTGATATCTTGCTGTTTTTCAGTAGTATTTTTTGATAATTGTCGAAGTAGCGTCCACTCAACTTGGCGGTCAGGACCTACCCCATCATTATTACATTTAAAGTTGTTTTCATTTATGCTAGAACAAGTATATTTAATAATCAACACTTTTATGGCAACAAAAATTATGATTGTAAGGGGATGGAAACAAAAATATAATTTTTCAAAAACAAATTTTATTAGCCAATTATTATGGCAACTTAAGATGGAAAGGGGAAGAGTGTGGTTTTCAGGTATTTCAATAAAACACTATCGAGTCTGTCAAAGTTCCTTCATTAAAACAAAATCAATGTATAGTTACATAGGTACATAGGCTGAAAAGAGACTTGTGTCTATCAAGTTCAGCCTTCCTCACATTTGTTTTTTGCTGTTGATCCAAAATAAGGCAAACAAACCCAGGTTGAGCACTTCCAATATTGCGGCAAACTATAAAAAGAATGCTCTCTTGACCCCAGTATGGCAGTTAGATTTATCCTTGGATCAAGAGGCTATTACCCTACAGTTGAAAAATTATATAATTGAATATTCTGTTTTTGCAAGTATGCATCTAGTTGCTGTTTAAAAATCTGTACGGACTCTGATAAAACCACTTCTTCAGGCAGATAATTCCATATTACATTATTACATTATAATTATAATTGCATATACTTATTGTTTTTACACTCTTAGAATAAATCTGCTTTCTTCCAGTCTAAACGCATGACCTCATGTCCTAGGTAAAGTCATGTTTGTTAATAGATTTACACACAATGGCTTGTATTGGCCCTGAATATATTTGTATAATGTTATCATATCCTCTCTGAGGTAAAATTTTTCTAAACTAAAGAGGTTTTAATTTGTTACCTTTCTCAATAGCTAAAATGTTCCATTCCTTTTATTAAATTTGGAGCCCGCCTCTGCACTCCCTCCAGTGCCACAATATCCTTTTTAAGAAGAGGTGCCCAAAATAGCACAGCATATTCAAGATGTGGTCTTACCAGTGATTCATAAAGAGGCAAAATGACATTCTCATCCTGAAAATGAATGCCCTTTTTCATGCATGACATTACCTTACTGACCTTAGTCACTGCTAAATGACATTGCACATTGTAGAATAGTTTGTTGTCTATAACAATGCCCAAGTCCTTCTCGTGTGTTGTTATCCCTAACTCGCTTCCTTAAGGGTGTTGCTACGCCGAAGTGCATACCTTTGCATTTTTCTACATTACATTTCATCTGTAGAGTTGAGCGAACCCGAACTGTAAACCCTGGACCCGAACACGGACATATCACTGTATGTTTGGGTTGGAGTTCGGTGTTTGGCAAGTTATGGCTCGTTTTCAAAGGCTGCAGGCGTTTGACTCGTGTGCCCTTAGAAGCCATCACAGCCATGGCTGTGACTGGCCAGTGCAGCATGTGACCCAGCCTCTATATATAAGCTGGAGTCGCGTAGCAGCCGCACGCACATGCGGTCTTATTAGTGTAGAGAGAGGATGCTGCCACTGATAGGGACAGCTTGGGAAAGAATTCTGCAAACTAGTACATTAGTGGGGTGGGGTGCACTTCATATCTGAGAGTCAAATAGAAGCTTCAAATACTGCTGTTACATTGCAGTTTTAAAACTTAAATTTTTTTGGGTCATAAACTGCTAAATAGTATTTTAGTGGGGTGCACTTCATATCTGAGAGTCAAATCGAAGCGTCTAATAGTGTGCTTACAGCGCAGTTGTAAAAATTATATTTTTCTGGGTGCTAATTTGCTAAATAGTACATTTTGGGGCATGCGGTGCACTTCATATCTGAGAATCAAAAAGCGTGCTTACAGCACAATTGTAAAAATTCTAATTGTTTTGCTGCTAATCTGCTAAATAGTACATTTGCGGCCTGCGGTGCACTTCATATCTGAGAGTCAAATAGAAGCATCTAATAGTGTGCTTACTGTGCAGTTGTAAACATTCTAATTGTTTTGCTGCTAATCTGCTAAATAGTACATTTGCGGCCTGCGGTGCACTTCATATCTGAGAGTCAAATAGAAGCATCTAATAGTGTGCTTACTGTGCAGTTGTAAACATTCTAATTGTTTTGCTGCTAATCTGCTAAATAGTACATTTGCGGCCTGCGGTGCACTTCATATCTGAGAGTCAAATAGAAGCATCTAATAGTGTGCTTACTGTGCAGTTGTAAACATTCTAATTGTTTTGCTGTTAATCTGCTAAATAGTACATTTGCAGCCTGCGGTGCACTTCATATCTGAGAGTCAAATAGAAGCGTCAAATAGTGCGCTTACTGCACAGTTGTAAACATTTTAATTGTTTTGCTGCTAATCTGCTGCTTACATTGGAGTTTTAAAAAGTAAAAAAAAATTGTTTTGTTTTTGGTTCTAAATAGTATATTTGGGGTGTTCACTTCATATCTGAGAGTCAAATCGAAGCGTAACTTTGATTTGATTTGAATTTACTACATCGGTTACTTGTAATATTGTTTCACACCTACAACACTTGTTATACAGATCTAAGTGATAGAAAACACATTGATATTTTCTACACTAGAAACTAGCAGACAACAAGCTGCTATATTTAAACCAGTTATCAATTGCTAAGAGGTACTTCAACAATATTGTAATTCTGGGGCAATACCCTCACAAGTCAAACTGAGAGGTCCGTTTATAGGGAAAACTGTTGCCTGGATACAATTCTAAAACAATTTCCAGGTGTCCTTTGCAGACTTTACATGCTGGAAAAACACAGGTACCAACTGCTGTGGCTTTCTTCAGTGTGTATACCGGCAAGGAGGGCAGGGTTGAGGAGTGGGTGGAAGATGATGTGGAGGATGATGTGGAGGATGATGAGGTCCTAGACCCCACATGGAATCAAGGTCATGCGAGTGACGTGTGCAGTTTGGAGGAAGAGGCACTGGTCGCACAGAGGCACCAGCACAGCATAAGAGGGAGCAGGGTGCAAAAGCGGAGTGGCCGTCCCCTAGCGCTTGTCGGCATGTATTAGCTCGAGAATTACCTGTTTTCCAAGTAATACATGTAGGGATCAAAGGATCTATAATAGAGTTGAGCGAACCCAAACTGCAAAGTTCGGGTTCGTACCAGATTTAGTACGTAGTTTCACAAGCAGGTGGGCAGTCCGGTGACCAGGACCCAGACACTGTCTGGGCGGCGGTCGGACGACCGGGACCCATTATGCCTGATGTTAAAGTTAGGAGTCACAGTGTGGAATGGATTAGCAGAGTCTGGTGCAGGGTAACCGCATGCCCCCTGGTTTTGAGCACCAGCGTTTGTGCGGCCACATACCTGATGCAGCTTCAGTAAAAAGAGTACTGGATACCAGAAGCCATCATCAGACTGATCCGCAACTTGGAACAGGATGTGACATTCACTGTAGCAGCTGTGCGCGCATTTGGTATTCTCACCCTGCTGCTGCTCGCCTGTCTGTGCTGCAGCATAACTTCGGACTTCCCGCTCACCGCCTCATGAGATTGTGAGTGCAGCAGCAGGTGATAGTGGAGTTTCAGCTGCAGCATGCACGGGTCAGTGGCTCTGCACCAGACTTCACTCCAATTGATCAGAGTTAAAGGATTTCAAGTGGACTCATTGCAATTACAGGGCCTCTAAAGAGTCCTGTATTGTTATTTGTCATCACTAACTTCCCACGTCGGGAGTGAGTCATTTGTGCACCTGCTGCCTTCCTTCCATGTGGTAGCCGTTTCTCAGGGTCCCTGTATGGAATGGAACCCTGATTTCCCGTTACCCGTGGTCACCATGGTAGGTGCAGAAACTGGCATCGAAAGTTGATATGGATGACATACGAATGCAAAGTCGCCGTCACGGGGATGTGCGATTGGCCGAGGTTCTCTAGAGTCAACAAAGTGCCTGCACAACTATAATGTCAACAGCTACTCTGCGGAACAGAGTTGTCTTTTTTATGTCCCAATATTTTGTGGGCTACCACAATTAAAATACAATATATATATATATATATACACACACACACACACACACATATACACACACACACACACATATATATATACACATATACAGTGTTGGCTACCTCATCCTCTTACTCCACCGCCGCTTCCACCTACACCGCCACGGTCTACGCCTCTTCAACCTATGGGTCACTTAGTATAAACTAGCTACACATGAGCAGAGGCTTGTCAAGGCCTTTTCTCCATGCATCAGGAGTTGAGCATTTCTCCATTTCTCCATGCATCAGGACTGCAAGAAATGCACTGCAGGCTGCAAATGTTTCTTTTTTTGTATGTCCCAATATTTTGTGGGCTACCACAATTTAAAAAATACAAAAACATAAAAAACAGTGTTGGCTACCTCATCCTCATTCTCCACCGCCACAGTCACCACCTCCTTAACCTATGGATCACTTAGTATAAACTAGGTACACATTAGCAGAGGCTTGTGAAGGCTTTTTCTCCATGCATCAGGAGTTGAGCATTTCTCCATGCATCAGGACTGCAAGAAATGCACCGCAGACCACAAATGTTTCTTTTTTGTATGGCCCAATATTTTGTGGGCTACCACAATAAAAAAAATAAACAACATATATAAAAAAAGAGTGTTGCCTACCTCATCCTCCTACTCCACTGCCGCTTCCACCTACACCGCCACGGTCACCACCTCCTTAACCTATGGGTCACTTAGTATAAACTAGGTACACATTAGCAGAGGCTTGTGAAGGCCTTTTCTCTATGCATCAGGAGTTGAGCATTTCTCCATGCATCAGGACTGAAAGAAATGCACCGCAGACCACAAATGTTTCTTTTTTTGTATGTCCCAATATTTTGTGGGCTACCACAACTAAAAAAAAGAACAAACATAAAAAACAGTGTTGGCTACCTCCTCCTCCACCGCCGCTTCCACCTACACCACCACGGTCACTGCCTCCTCAACCTATGGGTCACTTAGCATAAACAATGTACACAATAGCAGAGGTTTGTGAAGGCCTTTTCTCCATGCATCAGGAGTTGAGCTCAGTTTAAACAATGAAAGAGAATACCCTGCACTCCAACCCTCTCTCAAATGGATAATTCTGTTGATCCTCCTGACAGCCATGCTTTAGATTTTGATTTATGTTCTTCCAAAGCTAAAATCAAGATTCCATCTAGTGCTATTTTATGGCTGTATTTTAAATTGTTATGTTATTTTAAGTGATTTCCCTATCCACATTTTGCAGGGCACTTGTCCTACTCTTACCCCCATTTTACTTGCTTTTGCAGCTCTCTAGCTCTTTCTGTTACATTGACTTCAATGGTGTTCGGGTTCAGGGTCAAGTTCAGGGTCAAGTTCGAGGCTGAACCCAGACTTTTTTTCCGCCGGACCCGAACATTCAGGTGTCCGCTCAACTCTATTCATCTGCCAACTGAGTGCCAGTCTATCTAAATCCCTCTGCAGCAAAGTAATATCTTGCTCACATTGTATTACTATACAGAGAAAATATATGGTCACATATGATTTAAATTCATAAATAACATTTCCTGTCAGTATTGTTTTTTTTGTTTGTAATATATGCAATTTAACAGTTTGTCAAAAAATATTTTTTAAATCTTGTCTAATGAAGATTTTTAAAAAAGAAAAAGGGGGTATGGCCTGACCTTCATGGCAGCCAGACGTGTTTTAGGAGAGCTCCTCACTTGTCTAGTACAAATACCTAAATATTCGCCTACTACTGCTCTCTTCTTGATACTAATGGCATCCCACATGCTCCCTGACAGGGGCAATATACCGAGGCACAACTGACTGCTGCTTGGCTTACCGTATAATGGCATTCTAAGCCTCACCCACTGCAGGTCTCTGTGGCTTGGAGAAAACACTTCAGAAGTCCCAGAAGAGCAATAAGAGGCTTCTCCAAGCCGATAACACCATCCTGCTCAAATGATACTCCTTCCAATCCCTGGACTCTCCAGCCCACAAGCTTGTAAGAGGATGCAGGACCTTAAACTGCCCCCTCAGGGGCAGTGGCATACACATGACCATGGGGCCGCAGTGCAAAAATTGATCCGTGGGCCCCCCCCCGCGCTTACTCGGCGCGGGTCAGGGCCGCAACACATGGCGGCGGGCACCTGGTCGCAGGGCTGCGACCCCGCGAATGCGGTATGCTGCACACACCTAAAGGACCACTACAGACGCCCAGATCACATCAGCTCAATGAAGTGGTCTGGGTGCCAGGTCCCTCTAGTTTTAACCCTGCAGCTGAAAACATAGCTGTTTCAGAGAAACGGCTATGTTTCACTGAGGGTTAATCCAGCCTCTGGTGGCTGACTCATTGACACCCGCTAGAGGAGATTCCGCGATTCTCACTGTGAAAATCACAGTGAGAAGACACTGAACGTCCATAGGAAAGCATTGAGTAATGCTTTCCTATGGGCGGTTTAAATGCGTGCGCGCCTCTTGCCGCGCATGTGCATTCGGAGCTGAGAGGCGTGGGATCCCCAGCGCCAAGGAAGTACGGCGCTGGAGAAAGGTAAATGCTGAAGACACACACTCTCATAAACAGACGCATACACACTAGCTAACAGACACACACATTTACTGACAGAGACACTCTCAGCAACAGACATACATACACACTCACTTACAAAACATACACTTTCACTGACAAACACACACTCACTAACAGACATCAGACACACTCAGTAACAGACACACTCAGTAACAGACACACCAACACCCACACACACACTAACACACACACTAACACACACACACTAACACACACACACTAACACACACACACATGTTTTTTTTTAAATTGAATCCCCCCAGCCTCCTTACCTTTTGGAGTGCTGGGGGGATTCCCTGGGGTCCAGTGGTGGTGCTGCTGGGCTCCCGGTGGGTTCTTAGGCGGGCGGGCTGTCTGTGTGTCTGGGTGGCCAGCACGCGAGGGTGGCCAGCACGCGCGCCGCGTAGGGATGCCGGAGCCGGTAGATGACGTCATGGTATCAGTGCGGTGCGCGAGGGAGCTGAAGAGGAAGCACACAGGGGAGAGTGCTCCCTCGCGCACCTGCCACCCAGACAGCCCGCCCGCCGGGGTCAGCAGGGCCAGCCTCGGGGGGCTCTGAGTTGGCCGCCTCCTGGGCCCCCCAGGTCGCAGGGGAGGCCGGGCCCCCTGGTGGGCCGGGCCCGGTCACAGCCGCGACCCCTGTGACCCTGGTATGTACGCCACTGTTCAGGGGGTTTGCTGACTCATGGAGAGTACAGGCAGTGTTACCTTCTCCACCACTAGCCTCATGCTAAGGCAGGGCACCTATTAGTTTGATACAGTTCATTAGCATGTTAAGTGAAAACATACTTATTTGTGTCTGAAAAGTCTTCTCTGTTATTTAGCTCATCTAACATTGTATATCAAGTTCACAATGACATGCTAAATTGTGTATTAACCTTATACTTTATCATAGTTAGACATAATTGATTAGCCTGTTCCTACCTTTATATAGAAATACAAATGTGCAGTTATTCTAAACGCCATGTCACTGTCTTATAACTTGTCTTACTATTGTGCTTGATTGAGATGTCGTGGCCTTACAACAAGCATGTCAAACTCTCGGCCCAGAGAATGAATATCTTTATAACCCGGCGAGCTGCGAGTTTGACATACTTACTAAGGCAGAGTAGGCACCAGCTCTCCCCACATTGCAGGTGTCCACTCTGCTTAAATTTACCAGGCTGGGGAGGAGAGGTCACTCGTGGCAGCAAGGGAACTTAGTCTTCCTGTGTCAGGGTCTTACCTGATGGGGAGTCCGGCTCGCAGAGTTATACGCTCACCCTTGCAAAGTAGACACAGACCAGGGTGACCAGGTAAGATGCCACCTGGCCTGTGAGTCTGTGCACGGGGGCTTTCCAGGAAAAGTGCGCCAAGTCTCAGTACAGCAGGGATTAGCAGAAGCGTGGTCAAGGGAAGCCAGAATCAGGGAAGCCAGAGGTCAGAGTAGTCCAGGAGGAAAGCCAAGGTCAGAAGCCGGAATAAGACAGTAATCACTGGAACGCAGGTACGGAGTAACAGGAACCAAACAAGGGAACCAGAGTCAATGAACTGACACTGCCCTCAGGGAGAGGAAGTGTCTTATACCTGGATAATTGGTGATCAGCCACAGGTGTGCTGAGATCGTTGGAGCAGCCACAGAATAACGTCCAGCCCCCAGTGCTGGGTACAAGGCAATATAGACTTCTGGCTATCTCTTGAGCTGATATGGTGGCTCAGAGGCAAAATAGCAGCCCCAGGACTGCAAAGTACCCTGGTTCAAGTCCGTCACCGGGCACTTCTGGGGCGACCTCGTATGGCCGTCGGGATGTCGCAGTGAGAATCGTGACATCCTGCTCCTCACTGCTCCCTCGCGCGCGCCATCTGTAGTGATGCCGGGTGCCGGAATATGACGTTATTCCAGCACTCAGCATCACTAAACTGCGTGAGTGAGGAGCAGGTAGAAGTACTCCCATGAAAAGATTCCTGATGGACTTCAGGGAGAGGTTCCACACCAGCTCCCAAAGGTAGGGAACATTAAATAAAATGATGTGAGTGTGTCTGTCAGTGAGTGAGTGTCTGTCAGAGAGCAAGTGTGTGTGTCTATCAGAGAGTGTGTTTGTCTGTCAGTGTGTGTGTGTTTGTGTCTGTCAGTGTGTTCTACTCTATGTAGATGTTTTGCGTGTTGGATCACATTAGTAGTCGTGACAGGGACCCGGAAGAGGGGTATAGAGGGGAGCACTGGGGTTAGTAGAGGGGGATACTGTTTTTCTTTATTCTGTACTTATCAAAACAAACCTAGGATTCTATGAAAATTTTAGTTTCTGGGGAGTTTTTTGCGGCCCACAAAAACTTAAACCTTGTTTATTTGGCCTGTGCTAGCCTTTGATTTTGACATGCTTGCCTTACAAGCTTGGTTATTTCATGAATGAGAAAAACAGAGAATTATAAAAAAAAAAAAAAAACTGCTGTACACTTCCAACAAAAATTTAACATCATTATTGTTTTAACTGAAAATAAACACTTTACTTTGCCATAGAATAAATCTCCTTTCTTACAGTCTAAATGTGTGACTTTCTGTCCAATGTAAAGTCCTGATTATGAATAGATTTCGAGACAATGCTTTGTATTTGCC